GTTTTTAATGTTTTACTGAACATGAGTTTAATAAATTTAGCACTAAAGTCTACACAGTAGTGCACATTCCTCTCAAGCCCAGAGGTCCTTCAGACATTAAGCAACCTAACAGAACACACAAAAATAAAACAGATCACCAGATTTTTCAACTGATTATATAAACAATTTTTGTAAAACAATTTTAAGAAGTAAATTAGAAGTTCTCTGAACTTCATTTATTCTTTCATCTTTATATAACTATATGATGAAAGGCCCATTTAAAAGTTTTCCAACCATCAATTTAAGAAAGCAGATTGACATATAGAAATATCTGGTGAAATTCAGCCAGTGCAATGACCATTTCAAAGGAACAAACAAGTCAAGTAAAAATCATAAGTTAAAGCTGTCACCCCACTTCACTAAATATCTGTGGCCTCTCCAGCGACAATTTGAGAATAACCTCAAGGTTACTTTCAAAATAGAAAAAGATGTGTAATTACAGCATGGGGCTGGAGTCAGACAGGGCTGATTTGGTACACCCCAGTTCCTATAATAGCTGGCATGTAATACACAACCAAACAATTATATTAATTTCTGCCTTGTTTCCCTCAGTAGGTAACTATGTTCAAAGGACAATGTGCAAAAGTGCAAAGGATTATTATTAGTAAGGGGATTTCTGAAAGTAAAAGTTCTTACAGAATGCAAGAAAGTGTCTCAAATCCAGTGTTTGAGAGAAGCTGGCTACAAACTAGATAGATGTATTAAGATGATAATCACCTTAAAACAATAATAGTCAAAAACAGTAGCCATCAGAATTAAGCTCTTTATTCATCTTCCTTGTTTCAAAGAGTCATGGCAGTTCTTAGAGTACAGAGAGCATTCCCGGCATGTGGTAACACAGAGCAAGGCACACTGGAACATACTGAGCCCCAGCGTCTCCCTGGAGGAGTGACAGTTATAGAAAATCCAATCAGGGACAGAGGGAAATGCCTGTGAAATAAGAACCCCAAGTCAAGGCTTGGCTTTAGACTTGGGCTGGGATGCTGTGACATCCAGGTATGAACATGCTCAAGCCAGAGAGCAGCTCATTCCAAGGGCGGGCTGTGACTGGCCTGGATGCAGCCCCTACAGAGAAGATTCATTTAGGGTATGTGTTCAACAGGCTGAGCACATCAGCCACAGAGAGACACAACATGCTCCTCCCATGGGGAAACATGCCCTGGCCTCTGAATTAGCTCCAGAAGGCCAAGAGTCTGACTCCTTTGTTCATTCAGCGCAACTTTACTGCTGCCTATTCTGTGCCAGGCCCTGTGCTGGGTGCAGAGGACAAAGCGAAGAATCAGACAGTCTTTACCCATCAGGGAATTCAGAATACGCTAGCAATATCACAAAAATAAGTCATGATTCAAGGTAAAAAGGATGCAGAAAGGAAGCAGACAGACTTGGTCCTCAAAGAGTTTACAGCCTAGTGGAGGCCTATGGGCAGTCTGTGCTAAGGACCAAAGAAAGGCACATGCCATATGCTCTGGCAGCGCAGGAAGGATGACATGATAGATACTGGATGACACAGTAGGGAAAACTCACAGCTTCTTAGAGAAATCTGAACAGCCTCAGTTGGCCAAAGTGGAAGGAATGGATCCTACTGCCTTGTGCTGGGGGCTGTGCAGCTGTGGGCCGACCTCCAAGCGTCCCTCGGGCTACCCAACAGAGAGGGTGCAAGGTCGCTTATCTGTGGATGTGGCTGCATGATATCCTGTGGATATATAAGGGGAGACTGGTGACCAGGAGAAACAGGTCCAAATAATAAGGGCCCAAGGTAAAGGTTAGGGCTTCCCTTGTAGCTGAGACAGTCAACAATCTGCTTGCAAGGCAGGAGACCTGGGTTAGATCCCTGGGTTGGAAAGATCCCCTGGAGAAGTGAATGGCAACCCACTCCAGTACTCCTACCTGGAGAATTCCATGGACAGAGGAGCCTTGTAGGTTATAGTCTATGGGGTCACTAAGTCGAACATGACTGAGCGACTAACACACACACACAAGGTAAAGGTTAGGAGCTTAGAGTGAATGAACCAGGAGGCAGGGAGCATGAGCAGGACCGGCAGGCTGAGTAAGTGGGAGGCTGGCCTGGGTATACACCAGCAGACGGAGGGGCCTACAGTGCCTTCCTGCAGTCCTAGCAGTGAGTCATCTGTGCTTGACGGGGAGGGCCTCTCAGCTCACAGACCACAGCCTAGCCTGTCCTCTCTTCCTGGCACCTAGTCTGCTTTTCTCTTTTCTTCACAGCTGCCTTCACCTGCTCTATCTTTCCCATTCTCCCAACCCAACTGTGGCTGAAACGGGTTCAGTTAGGAGTCAGGTATCATGGTATAGGTCCCAGGGCCCTGAAGACCTTGGGTAACTGACACTACAGCTGTTTTGGATGGTAACCTGGCACAGAGACAAGCTTCAATTCACGTTGGGTTGGAACTTGTCTATAGCTCAACCTGTTCAGGCCTCTTTCCCTCCCACACATTTTGTGGAACAACTCTGGCCTGTTGTCATTTCTTCCTAACAGCAGCCACCACCTACACCCTCTCTCCAGCCTGGGCTTCCTGTACGTACCCATCTCTCTCTTCCTAAAGGTGTCAGGACTCCTCCCTGCTGTGCTTTTCCTTCACAGCTGCCATCAGCCCTCTATTCTGCTCTCTGATCCTCACTATGGATTATCCCTGTGTCCAACCCTCTTTTCCTGCTATTATTGAAATATGCACAGACCCCCTTCACCTATTAAGAATTTCATTGCTAGTCACTGAGGAGAAGCGAACCTGAAGTGGAGGGGAAGGAGAAAGGGAAGGGCACTTTAAAGATGGATGAGACTTCTCACGAGGACAGGGCATCTGTGGTCCACCCTGGCATGTGACTGAGCTCCCTTCTTTGACTCCTTTCTTGGATAGTCCCAAAGAAGTCCTCGTATTCTCATTTTCTCCATCCTTTAACTCTCGTTTTAGAACCCAGCCATCTTCTCTATTCTGTCAATCTGGGGTGTGGTGCTCAGGAAAGCTTTGCTGAATATGGAGTTTCTAGTCGGGAGGGGCTGCCCGTTTAGTCCTTCCCTCCCCGGGTCCTCCCTGTGCCACCGACGCTGCCCACTCTGAAATCGCAGCCCCTGCCACTTGCCAAAGCGACTGAGGTCTTCTCTGACAGCAGCTTCATACAGAGAAGAGAGGAGTATTCATTAGTTCAACCAACAGCTGAAGGTCTTACACGCCAGGCTAAATGTAAACACCCTTTAGTAAGCAGTGAGGAGCCACAAGCAATTTTCAAGCAGGGACTGGCGATTAGAAAGTACCTCACATTACGCACAGGTACTCAATTATGGAAACATTTAGATAAATGTACAAATGAGTAAGTGAATGATCATAACTGTGTATTAACTTCAGCAAATATATGAGAGGTTAAGGGGATTTTTAAAAGCCCCACTAAGCCCTGGGCTTAAGCCATATGCTAAAGTAGGTGAAGTTACTCTCTACTTTCATCCTATAGGACTCTCTGCCATCTGACTGGCACAACTGCATCCCCCAACTTTCTAGGCTGTGTTCCATGACGAAGACTTACTCTCCAGGGTCATTACTCAGCACCAAATATATTTACCTGCTGCCTGCTTAAGGCATTATCTTCCCAAAATAGGGACAAAAAAGGTATCTCTCATGATAAGAGTATCTGTCACAGTAACAGGCTTATGGGGGGAAATGATCTAAAATAACTGCAACCATCTGCTATCATCTGAGAACCAGCAATGGCAAAGTTTGTCCCAAATCTATTAGATAAAGAAGCATCTCTACTTCACTAATAGTAGAGATGGTCCAAATTTCAGTAGGTCCGAACAAATATGCTTGATTCAGAGGTTTGTGAGTCCAGAGACCTTCTGAATGGTGACAACTGTCTCCATTAAAGGAGAAGGCTGAGTGAAGACATTTTGAGAAAAACAAACAGCAGCCTAGACAAGTTCTGGGGCAGATGACTCCAGGCACAATTAAGAGACAATTAAAATAATGTCATCAGCAGCTACTATCACTCCCACTTAGAGCCTAACATCTATAAACTATCCCCCAGCTACATTTATTTTCTTGAATTTTATCCCTCTTCTAGCCCCCTAAACTGTGAACTCCTTGACAGCAGAGATAGCGGGAAGTTTTGTCCAATGCTTTGAAGTCCTAACCCATGTTCATTTCTCATCAAGAACTATCCTAATAAATGAACTTCAAGTTCATCTCTCATAGGAATCATGCCATCAGAAACATTAAGTACAATTATTGAAGATCACTGACATTGAACATCTCATTTTCTCCTTCAGAGGTAATGCTTTCTGGACAAGGAAGGAAAGGTTGAGCAGAGCTGCAAAGCTGGAGAAGGTCAGTGACCTATAGTTCTGCTGCTTGGCCCAATTCCTCTAGAACAGTGAGTCTGTAGAGCTTCGCACATGATCAGAAGGATGTAAGCATTTTTGTTATTAAAAACAAAACAGTCCACCCACATCTTCCTTTGTGCCATGACACCTGCTTGTAACCTCATACTTGGATGAGTGGCAAATCATTTGAAAAGCTGAGCCTGCTGACTTTCATGTTGAGATAGTTCTATATACAGCCAGGACTTGCTGATCAGGGAGCATGCAGGCACACTGCCTTTCCTAGAGATGGGAAGAAGAGAAATCACAGACCCGACCCTCTCATTTTACAGATGGAGACCTGAGGCCCAGAGAGTACAGGTGACATGTCCAAGGTCCCAAAGCAAGCCAGTGGAAGAGCCAAGATGACATCATAAGTCTCTCAACTCACCATTCAGTGCTCTTTCTAATGCAGTAGCTATGGCAAGATGTTCATTTTGCTCTTTGGAGAATGAGCAGTGAAAACAGGTAGAGAGCAGAATATTAGGCATTTTGTTTCTCTGCAGACTTCAGTAACCTCTGTTATCCTGACCTCCACTGTCCTGGCTGTGACTGCCTTCTATAGTAGCCTTCTATGCAAAGTTGGGTCCTAAGCCAGTTAGTTTTTACTTGGCTCAGAGTTCCTACCAAGGGTGGAGCAGTCCCCTTGCACGTGACTCAGGATCTCTTGGTCTGTAAACAGGCGGAAGGCGATCTGCTCACACTCCCACTTGGTCCCACATTCAAACAAACACCCAAACAAGCCCTCGTTCTCCAGAGCAGCCAAATCAGAGTACCCACAGGGCCCGCAGTGCAAGATCCAAGGGCGGGACCAGCAGGCAGCCTCCAAGGGGTTCTGGTTGAGGTAGATGCCTAGGTCGACCCTGCGTTTCTTACTGGTAGGGTGTGAGTACAAGAGCCATGATTCTGACAGGGTTCCAGCTTCCAGCTGTGGCCTCACTGAGCTGCACAGCAGAGGACTCTGCTGAAGGGCAGGTGCCTCTTTGCCAGCAAGATCCTGGCATCCACCTGGGATCTCCAGGGGCTGGAAACTCACCACACTGCCTTGGCAGCCATGAGGTGGCTCACAGAGCTGATGGCTCAGGGCTGGTTTCTGAAAGCATTCACCATGGTCAGTGCTGAGGGCCTCTGCCCGGCACCTGTTTGGTGTCCGGGCACTGCAATACAGCACAGGGTGGCCGACCTTCCCGATCACCTCTGCCACTTCACATTCCACCGTCACCATGGGCTTGATAAGCCTGCCATGTTGCCATGTGGCTCCTAGGTCATCGCTATAGATCATCACGGAATGAGGCCTAGCTTTATATGGCAGCCGAAAGCAAGAGAACCAGAATGGGATGTAGTAGGCGTACGCAGGGATGATGAGCCTCCCCGACTGCAGCTGGATGCCATGACCTGGGCCCACAGCAAAAGTGGCCCAGTGTGCCACCTCTGGGCCAATGACCTCCTCAGTCAGGTCCCTCACCTCGCTCCATGAATAGCCAGCATCCTGGCTGCATATGAAGCAGAGGCGTGCAGCATTCCTGCCTGACATAATCTGCTGACGCTCGGTGACATGGCCTCGCACACAGATGAAGAACAGGTACACACAGCCACTCTTCCGCTCCCAAACAGGACAGGGGTTCATGGTCCGGTGTCCAGGTAATGTGGCTTTCATCAGGGACTTCACGGGTTCCCACTAGACAAGAGGAAGGGAAAAAGCAGGAGTGAAAGACATGAGGCTCATTAAAAGCATTAGTACTTTTCAGTTCAGTTCAGGTCAGTCGCTTAGTTCTATCCAACTCTTTGCAATCCCATGGACTGCAGCATGCCAGGCTTCCCTGTCCATCACCAACTCACAGACCTTGCTTAAATTCATGTCTATCAAGTCAGTGATGCCATCCAACCATCGCATCCTCTGTTGCCCCCTCCTCCTGTCTTCAACCTTTCCCAGCATCAGGGTCTTTTCCAACGAGTCAGATCTTCGCATCAGGTGGCCAAAGTATTGGAGCTTCAGCTTTAGCATCACTCCTTCCAATGAATATTCAGGACTGATTTCCTTTAGAATTGATTAGCTTGATCTCCTTGCAGTCCAAGGGACTCTCAAGAGTCTTCTCCAATACCTTAGTTCAAAAGCATCAGTTCTTCACTGCTCAGCCTTCTTTATTGTCCAGCTCTCACATCCATACAGGACTACTGGAAAAACCGTAACTTTGACAAGATGAACTTTTGTTGGCAAAGTAATGTCTCTGCTTTTTAATAGGCTATCTTGGTTTGTCATAGCTTTTCTTCTATGCTCCTCTATGCAAGGAGCAAGCATCTCTTAATTTCAAGGCTTCAGTCACCATCTGTAGTGAATCCAAGAAAACAAAGTCTGTCACTGTTTCCATTGTTTCCCATCTATTTGCCATGAAGTGATGGAACTGGAGCCATGATCTTAGTTTTCTCAATGTTGAGCTTGAAGCCAGCTTTTTCCCTCTCCTCTTTCATTTTCATCAAGAGCCTCTTTAGTTCCTCTTCACTTTCTGCCATAAGGGTGGTGTCATCTGCGTATCTGAAGTTATTGATACTTCTCCTGGCAATCCTGATTCCAGCTTCTGCTTCATCCAGCCTGGCATTTTGCATGATGTACTCCGCATATAAGTTAAAAAATAAGGTGACAATATATAGCCTTGACGTACTCCTTTTCCTATTTGGAACCAGTCTGTTGTTCCATGTCCACTTCTAACTGTTGCTTCTTGACCTGCATACAGATTTCTCAGGAGGCAGGTCAGGTGGTCTGGTATTCCCATCTCTTGAAGAATTTTCCACAGCTTGTTGTGATCTACACAGTCAAAGGCTTTGGCGTAATCAATAAAGCAGAAGTAGATGTTTTTCTGGCATTTTCTTGCTTTTTTGATGATCCAATGGATGCTGGCAATTTGATCACTGGTTCCTCTGCCTTTTCCAGATCCAGCTTGAACATCTGCAAGTTCATGGTTCATGCACTGTTGACGCCTGGCTTGGAGAATTTTGAGCATTACTTTGCTAGTGTGTGAGATGAGTGCAACTTGCGGTAGTTTGAACATTCCTTAGCATTGCCTATCTTTGGGATTGGAATGAAAACTGACCTTTCCCAGTCCTGTGGCCACTGCTGAGTTTTCCAAATTTGCTGGCATATTGAGTGCAGCAATTTCACAGCACTGTCAGCTTGAACTAGCTCAGTTGGAATTCCATCACCTCCACTAGCTTTGTTTGTACCGATGCTTTGTAAGGTCCACTTGATTTTGCATTCCAGGTTGTCTGACCCCAGATGAGTGATCACACCATCATGGTTATCTGGGTCATGAAGATCTTTTTTGTATAGTTCTTCTGTATAGTCTTGCCACCTCTTCTTAACATCTTCTGCTTCTGTTAGGTCCATACCATTTCCGTCCTTTATTGTGCCCATCTTTGCATGAAATGTTCCCTTGGTATCTCGAATTTTCTTGAATAGATCTCTAGTCTTTCCCATTCTCTTGTTTTCCTCTATTTCTTTGCATTGATCACTGAGGAAGGCTTTCTTACCTCCCCTTGCTATTGTTTGGAACTCTGCATTCAAATGAGTATATCTTTCCTTTTCTCCTTTGCCTTTCGCTTCTCCTTTCTCAGATATTTGTAAGGCCTCCTCAGACAACCATTTTGCTTTTTTGCATTTCTTTTTCTTGGGGATGGTCTTGATCACTGCTTTCTGTTCAATGTCATGAACTCCGCCCATAGTTCTTCAGGCACTCTATCAGATCTATCCCTTGAATCTATTTGTCACTTCCACTGTATAATCATAAGGCATTTGATTTAGGTCATACCTGAATGGTCTAGTGACTTTCCCTACTTTCTTTAAGTCTGAATTTGGCAATAAGGAGTTCATGATCTGTGCCACAGTCAGTCCCATTCTTGTTTTTGCTGACTGTATAGAGCTTCTCCATTTTTGGCTGCAAAGAATATAATCAATCTGACTTCAGTATTGACCATCTGGTGATGTCCAAGTGTAGAGTCATCTCTCATGTCGTTGGAAGAGGGTGTTTGTTATGACCAGTGCGTTCTCTTCACAAAACTCTGTTAGCCTTTGCCCTGCTTCATTTTGTACTCCAAGGCCAAACTTACCTGTTACTCCAGGTATCTCTTGATTGTATCTCTACTTTTGCATTCCAGTCCCCTATGATGAAAAGGATATCTTTCTTGGGTGTTAGTTCTAGAAGGTCTTGTAGGTCTTCACAGAACCATTCAGCTTCAGCTTCTTCGGCATTAGTGGTGGCAGCACAGACTTGTGATACTGAATGGTTTGCCTTGGAAACGAGCAGCAATCATGCTGTCATTTTTGAGACTGCACCCAAGTACTGCATTTCGGACTCTTTTGTGACTCTGAGGGCTACTCCATTTCCTCGAAAGGATTCTTGTCTGCACTGGTAGATATAATGGACATCTGAATTAAATTTGCCCATTCCAGTCCATTTTAGTTCACTGATTCCTAAAATGTCGATGTTCATTCTTGCCATCTCCTGTTTGACCACTTCCAATTTGACTTGATTCATGGACCTAACATTCCAGGTTCCTATGCAATACTGTTCTTTACAGCACTGGACTTTATTTCCATCACCAGTCACATCTACAAACTGGGAACTGTTTTTACTTTGGCTCAGCCTCTTCATTCTTTCTGGAGTTATTTCTCTACTCTTCTCCAATAGCATATTGGGCACCTACTGATCTGGGGAGTTCATCTTTCAGTGTCATATCTTTTTGCCTTTTCATACTGTTCATAGGGTTCTCAAGGCAAGAATACTTAAGTGGTTTGCCATTCCCTTCTCCAGTGGACCACGTTTTGTCAGAACTTTCCACCATGACCCGTCCATTTTGGGTGGCCCTACATGGCATGGCTCATAGTTTCATTGAGTTAGACAAGGCTGTGATCCATGTTATCAGTTTGATTAGTTTTCTGTGATTGTGGTTTTCATTCTGTCTGCCCTCTGATGGATAAGGATTGTCCATTTAGTCAAAGCTATGGTTTTTCCAATAGTCATGTATGGATGTCAGAGTTGGACCATAAAGAAGGCTGAGCACCGAGAAATTGATGCTTTGGAACTGTGGTACTGGAGAAGACACTTGAGAGTCCCTTCGGCAGCAAGGAGGATCAAACCAGTCAATCCTAAAGGAAATCAACACTAAATATTCATTGGAAGAACTGAAGCTCCAATACTTTGCCCACCTGATATGAACAGCCAACTCACTGGAAAAGACCCTGATGCTGAGAAAGACTGAAGGCTGGAGGAGAAGGGGGTGACAGAGGATGAGATGAATGGATGGCATCATCAACTCAATGGACATGAGTTTGAGCAGACTCTGGGATATAGTAAAGGATAGGGAAGCCTGGCATGCTGCAGTCCATGGGGTCTCAAAGAGTTGTAGAAGACTGAGTGACTGAACAACAACAACCACATAACTCAGCAATTCAACTTCTAGGTCTGTACACAAAATAACTGAAAGAACAGTCTTGAAGAGACATTTTCATGCACCTTCTTGTTCCATAGTAGCATTATTCACAATAACCAAAAGGTGGGAGCAACTCAAGTGGCCACCAGCCGATGAGTGGATAAGATAAAAGGGATGAAGAGCTAAACAAACTGGATAAGTGAAATAATAGACTTAACATACAAATTATTCAGCCTTCACAAAGAAATCCTGACATATTCTACAATATGGATGAACCTTGAGGATACTACCTTGTGAAATAAGCCAATCACAGAAAGACAAAATATCGCATGATTCCACTTATATGAAACATCTAAAGTAAACAAACTCACAGAAACAAAGTACAGTATTAATCTCTAGGGGATTGGGGAGGGGAAAATTAGTTGTTCTATAAAGTTATGGTTATACACTAATGAATAAATTCTAGAGACCTGTTACACAACAATGTAATACAGTTAACAATACCACAATGTATACTTAAAATGGTTATGATGGAGGGATTTCCCTGGTGGTCCAGTGGCCAAGACTCCTAGCTCCCAATGCAGGGGTCCTGGGTTTGATCCCTGGTTAGGGAACTAGATCCCATGTGCCACAACTAGTAGTTCGCATGTTGCAACTAAAGATGCCACCTGCCACAACTGAGACCCTGTGAGGCCAAATTAAAAATGATTATGATGGAAAGTTTTATGTTAGGTGCATATTACCATAACTAAAAATGTTTTTAAAAGAACAAAAAAAAATCTGAAAAGGTCTTGAAGGTTTTAGCTGACCATCTATTTAACATTTAAGCAGCTACCAAAAAATAAATGCTACTTTACCCTAGGCTGCATTAAAAGGATAACAGATGGGATAGCCACCCCACTGCTGAGCTTGTCAATCTATCCTTGGGGTCATAAGTTCAGTATGAGTACCATACTTTGCAAAAAGACACTGATCTCCCACACCAGGACTGTAATCACAGTTTTCAAAGACCAGAAATCAAATCAAGACTGTGGCCTAAGGAGCTGCTAAAAGAAAGAAAACCTGGAGGGTGTGGATACTGCTTTCAGATACATCAAAGAGCAGTTCTCCACAAAAGGAACTTTATAATGTACAGATGTACTTCCCCATAAGGCATAACAAGACCAACAGGTTAATTACAGACAAGTACAGAGGATCTCTGAAGCTGAAACTCCAGTACTTTGGCCACCTCATGCGAAGAGTTGACTCATTGGAAAAGACCCTGATGCTGGGAGGGATTGGGAGCAGGAGGAAAAGGGGATGACAGAGGATGAGATGGCTGGATGGCATCACCGACTCAATGGGCATGAGTTTGAGTAAACTCCGGGAGTTGGTGATGGACAGGGAGGCCTGGCATGCTGCGATTCATGGGGTCGCCAAGAGTCGGACACGACTAAGTGACTTGAACTGAACTGAACTGACAGAGGATCTCATTTCAAAAAATAAGTTAACAGTTGCCACAGGATTAAATTTCTCATTCGAGGAGCTGTGTAAGTAGATCCTTAATAGAAGATGACTAATGTTGAGTTCCTACTATGGAACTGCTATTATTAATTATATTTCGCAGACAGTGAAACAGAGAAGAGTTAAGTATTCACAGTCACAGCCAATATATGATAGGTCTTGCCTGACTCCAAAGCCATGCTCTTAACCACTAAGCTACTAGTAGCAACCAATGGAATACAGAAGATTTCTATATTGGGAAAGAAGCTGGGCTGATACTTCTTCTAATTTTAAGATTCTACAATTAAGTAAATGAGAGAATGAATGTGAATAAAATGAAGTGAAGAGAGAATGAATGTGGATAAAATAAAGTCAAGAGAGAATGAGTTAAAGTGGACACATTTGTGACTGGATGTGACTACTGGATAGTGAGGTTATGTAACAGGTATGGTCTGATAAAAAAAACTTAACTGCCCAACTGTCTGTGGCAAAAAGCAGAGTAACATAACCACAGGCACATCCTGCCCCGGAGGAAACAAAAGAGCTAGAACTTCAAGTTGGGCTGAAGGACACCAGTGATATAAGCAGAGGTTCAACCCTGGGAGGCCATAAGAAAGACACATGATAAGGTGTAAGAGCAGGGAATGGAAATTCCCTAAAGTAAAAAACTTCCCCAAGGGGAAATGTGAGTAAAGCATTAAAAGCAGCCAGGGCTTGTTTGTAAGGCCCACCTTCAGCAGAACAGCATTTGCACTAAAACAGCAAAGCAAAGCATCCCTAAGGACATGAAGTTTTAAAGGTGAGATTTCTGAGAGTAGAAAAAGCAGGGCAGGTTAAGCAGATTAAAATACCTCATTAAAAAAGGTATGTATGATTATGTGTGTATTTATTCAAATTCACTGTCTCACTTGATCCTCACTTCAGCCATCTCTGAGAGATAAGTCAACAATAGCAAAAATGGGTTCTAAATTAACCCTGTAGTTCACAGGCCCAAGGGCAGTAACTATTCTCTCCCCCATTAAGAATACAGTAAAAATGTGCTACCTAGGGACAAGGGCACCAACCCCAGTTCTCTATTTATTAAGTGTGTGCCTAAGGCAAGTCACTTTATTTCTTATAAAATGGGGATAATATGTTCCTCACATAAAGCATGAAGGAAGACGAGGGAAGGGAAGACAGGGGAGAATATAGATGTTGTTTCCCTCCATTGCGTCTTTTGCTAGTTGTGGTCCTGAACAAGCTACCTATCTGTTGGAGCACCAGGATCCCTCATCAGCAAAACTGGACTAACAATGCTTACTGCTTTCAGTGACTTATGAGAATAAAAGAGAATGTGAATGAAAAGCACACCACATGCTGGCTGAACTGAATACACAAACCATGGAGGCCTCTATTCAGAGACTGGGTTTGAAGCTTGCTTTACTGCTTTTTTATAGCTGTTTGACCTTGAGCAAATAGCAATCACTCTGAGCCTCAGTTTCCTCATCTGTAAAATGTGACTGACAAGTTTCTATGTCACAGAGTGGCTGTGAGATTCAATGTGCCCCTGGTAAACAGTAAGTATTCAATAAGGGAAAGCATTGCTTTTACTGCTTTTTTTTTTCCCCTCCTCAGCTTGGACACAAGGCTTTTCCTGCACTGATGAAAAAGGCATGTAAAAAAAAAAAAAAAAAAAAAAGAACTATTTTCTTCTGAAAAAAAAAATAAAATTTATGTTTGTATGATCAAAAAAAAAAAAAAAAAGGCACAGACTCTGACATGCTCTGAGCAATGCAGAATATGAGACCCAGGCTCAGATCTGGGATAAGGAGTCACCTGTACTGAGCGCCCAGTCCTCAACCCTCGTCTCAGCACCAGGTGGAGAGCATCCTCATCCTTGCTCGAGGAGCGCTTCTCTGCAAAGGCCAGGAAGGTGCGGGCAGGGGGCACGTAGATCAGGGCTGGGATCCGGTAGGTGACCCCTCTCTTGTTCTCCTGCTGGAACAGAGGGCTGCTGAAGGAGCACGATGTCACTTCTTCCATGACCTCTGCAAGGATAGGAGGGAGTTCAGTGTGTGGCCACATCCAAAGGCTTGCTTGGACACAAGTTCTGCTCTATCATTTCATTTCTGGAGGTCACCGGTAGGCAAAGATGTACTCAAACATTTATTTTTTTTATACAAAAGCAACATCACGATCTCAAAAGCACAAAGCAAGCAATATGCATCCTCATCTAACAAGTCTATACTCCAGGCTCTGTGGGAATCCTGTGTAGCCTGTGTCAGGTGTCTCTCCAGAGAGATTCTGTATGTGCTTCTGCCGAGCATTCAGAGGCATTACCAGCCTGGATGGTTTCTAATAGTCAATTTCCTGGCTTGGAGTTTTTAGGCCATTCAGGTAATATAAATATAAACCCAAATCCATATGAGAGAATGCCTCTGGTTCAGAATACTCCAGTCAAACTTTTCCCTTCTCTTGGAGCCTACAATAAGAAGCAATCTTCTTTGTCATCTCTGTCAGTAGTAAGATTTCTTTTTCCTACTCCACTTGATCAGAGGATATAGATTTTCAAGGTACCTGGCTTCATGCAGGGATCTCAGTTCCAATCAGAGTCTAACACAGATGGGCCTATAGTGTCATTCACTGAAACAGCAGGTATATTAAAGCCCAAGCTTTGAGGTAAGCGAGACCAGCAAACATCTAGGGCAGCTGAGGTCACGTAAAGGGGCTAAATTCTCCAGTTTTCAGTTTACTCTTCAAATTTTTAGGCCCCTGGGGATTTCTCTTGCTTTCTTGGAAATTCAACTATAAAAGGCTTTGTTATACTTATCCACCATTTTACAAGTTAGCTAGCTTGCTATAATGCTGAAAATGGAACTAGGTACATTTCTCAGGTGTTCAATTTCTCAGAGGCCCAAAAAGGGAAGCCAGACAGATAGAATTAGAATTATTAGAATTATTATTTTTTCTCTCACCACTTGTTGTCCAAGCCCTGTCTTCCAAATCATTTGTAAAAATAATCAGGCTGTAAGAATGAGACCCACAAGGCCTTTTTCATTTATTTAATAGAGTGCCCACTGGAAGTCAGGCCATAAGGTAGGTGCTGAGGAGACAGAAAGGGATCAGAGGTCCCTGCCCACATCCAGATGAGGGGAACAGATATATATACATTGACAATTACAATATCATGTAGTAACTGCTGCTTTAAGAGGTCAACATGAGAGCGTGCAGGAAAACAGAAAAAAAGCAACCGTCCAGATCAAGGCAGCAGTGCAGTTTTGAAAAGCTAGTAAGTCAAGTGATCCCCTGTTTCATATCCTTATGCTCTGGGCCTGGGGCAATCAGATAGGCACACACCTCACTCCCTCACCTTCTTCAGCTCTACTCAAACATCATCCAATCAGTGAGGCCTTCCCTGACAACTCCCTTGTCCCTCTCTATCCCCCTTCTCTGCTCTGTTCTCCATGCCACCTATCATCACCCATATGTTACACTTATTTAATATGCCCTACAGAATAGAAGTTCCATAAAGGGCATGTACATGACTGTTTTATTCACTGCTATGCCTCTACACTTAAAACCCTGCCTGGTAATTCATAGGCTTGACAAATATTTGTTGACTGTTTGAATGAACGGGTGAGTTTGATCTTAAAGGCTGAAGAGTGGGTTAGCCAACTGAAGGGTAAAAAGGAGAAGAGGGGAGGGAGTGGATATGAAAAGCCTAAAGATCACAGAGGCACACTGTGAGCTGTAGGGACTCAGAGTAATCCAGTATGACTACAGTGGAGTGCAAAAGCTGTGAACAAAGATGGCACTGAAGGAGTCAGGCGAGGGCAAATCCTGGGAGGCTTCAATACCTTATTTATGTGTTTACCCCATGGGTAGAGAGCCACTCAACAGGTTTTGGCAGATGAATGCCAAGATCAAGTACACATTTCAGACCACTCTCTCAGGTAGCTTTCTGGACAATGAACTGAAGGGGAAAGTTACACTGCTTTGGGCTATAGGTTCCTAGTGTCAGTCAAGACAAGTTTTGTCATTCACAGCATATGAGTGATTTATTTAGCATGTGAATTCACTCAGCATGTGAATAATTCATTTCACTGGTTTCTAACCTCAAGTGAGAAGACTCACAGCTCACTATCCAAAAGGATGGGGAGGTGGCCTCCTAAGTCCAGAAGAAAAACCTCCTCTCACTCCAATTCTGGGTTCTCAACTGTCTTCCTCACACCATACTTGAGTACACCTCTCCTTAATTCAGGCTCTCCTGCCAGAGGATCAGGCTGTGTAATGGTTTAGAAAATAAGGTTTGGGCCAAGCCAGGACTACATGAACTTGGGCCTGTAATTTAACTGCTAGATCCTCATTTACAAAATTCGGTAGTTTTGGCTGAAAGTCATTCAGTAGAATGGCTGAAAGAATTGAGGTGAAAAGTGTAAATGGCTGTTACAGGGCCCATGACACAATATGAGCTCAATATATGACAGCTGTTATTTTTGGACTGTCAATCACTACATATTCTAGTGTTACTCCTTGAAACCTGTGGAAGAGGAGGATGAAGACAACAACCACAATTACAACTACCCTCTTTACAGTATTTAAACCCCTCTGGGAGAGATCACATTTTAAACTCTTATAAGGATATGAGTTAATATCAATACTATTAATCATCAGCCAACACAAGATTACTGGTCAACATCAAAACAGAATGTGTCTGGGTGATAAGAATAAAGCACAGAACAAGCATAGGAATGGGCAGGGAGGACCAGGGAAAAAGAAAGGGACAGGGAATGGATAGAACACATAAGGAAAAGCACAACTTCTTACTGTGTGACCTTGCACTAGTCACTTAATCCAGGTTTTGGATTCCTTGCTTATAAAGTGTGGATGACAATAATACTTACCTAAGATGACTGAACGAAGAACCACTCAAAAGTGCTTCATTAACTTTAAGGCACTATGTAAACAAAAGTATAAATTCAGATGCCTTCACAATTTCATTTATGGTTTTGCTATCACTGTAACAATTAGAGTCCTTATCACGGTTTACTAACTATGCTGATCATGTTGATGGCAGTGGTAACACACGTGGTGGCTGTGGCATCAATACCCAAACTATTTCACACAAACGATGTGCCAGGAGCTAGGGACAGAGAAAAATCAGATATAGTGTTGGAGAAGACTCTTGAGAGTCCCTTGGACTGCAAGGAGATCCAACCAGTCAATCCTAAAGGAAATCAGTCCTGAATATTCACTGGAAGGGCTGATGCTGAAGCTGAAACTCCAATACTTTGACCACCTGATGTGAAGAACTGACTCATTGGGAAAGACCCTGATGCTGGGAAAGACTGAAGGCGGAAGAAGAAGGGGACGACAGAGGATGAAATGGTTGGATGGTGTCACCGACTTGATGGACATGAGTTTGACCAAACTCCAGGGGTTGGTGATGGACAGGAAAGCCTTGTCTGCTGCAGTCCATGGGGTCGCAAAGAGTGGACACAACTGAGCAACTGAACTGACTGGGGTTGTTCATTTCAGCAGAGAACTCAACACTACTAACTACTGCTCCATATAATCACCTCTCAATCAAGATTTCCCTGCTCTCTTATTGGGAAGTATACTGTAACATCTTCAAGACTGACTTGGCTTTGACACTTACTAGCAAATCCAATTTACTTCTGAGCCTCAGTTTCCTCACTTGCAAGGGAGAAAATGCCACCTATTTCTCAAGCTTGAACAACAATATAATTCCACAGACTCCAATTAATCCAGTACAGCAAACAGCCTCCAGTGAACCCCAAGGGAGACTTCCCTATTTTATTCACACCTAACAACGAATACTTAAGAAGCTCTCATTATATGTTAGGTCTTTAAAGATCCTATGGTCCAAACTCTTCTCATGGTACACAATGGGATTCTCAGACCCACAGAGGGGAATAAACTCCTCTAAAGCCACTCAATGAGTCAGTAACAAAACCTGGATCAAGGTCCAGGACTCATATAAGTTTTAGTTCTGGGCTCTATGAAGCCCGGAGACCCTCTCCAGTAAGAAGAGTTTTCCCAATCTCAGCTCCCTTCCATATCAAAACAAGTTAGGCTTCAGTCGAAGGAAAACAAAAACAGAGCCAGGCAAGAATACCTTCTGGCAGTGTCTGAGAGATTAGCCCACTGGGGTGTCTTTGACCCAATAGACTGGATTTCCTAAACCCAAAGAATGCTGCCGAATCTGTCAGCACGGTCACTGCGCCTCACGTTTTGGGAGGCCCTCCAATCTTCCAGCCCCACTCACCTGCGCGGAACCCCGGCTCCTCCATCTCTCTCGGGCTGATATGGTCGCTGGGTCAAGCACTCACGTCTCGGACACTGAAGCCCTGGGGAATGATCAAGCCCGGGGAGACGGGGGCAGGAAAGAAACTGCGGACGCGGACACAAACCACGAAAAGTGAAGAAACACGGCGACAGAGACTTCGAGAGTCTGGCGGCGGGGCTGACAGATTCGGGAAGCCGGTAAGAGATGGTAGGAAAAAAAGTCCAGGAAGCTCGCAAGCCGCAACCCGCGGGCGGTTGGGACCTGCAGTTGGCTTCGGCCTGGAATCAGCTCCGCCCCCTCCGGGCCGGCGCAGCCGAGGCCCCGCCCCTCTCCCTCCCCCGCCCAGTCCCTTAGCGGTCCAATCTGGTTCATTCCTCCGCTTTCTGGTCCCCAGTTCCGGCCCAGCGGCGGCTTGGAACTTGCCCCTCCCTCTCTTAGCACCCGACACCACCCGCCTCAACTCAGGCCCAAGTTCAGTGTCCAACTGCCACACAGCTCCCTGGCTGGGACCCTCACCCTTCCACTCCGCCCACCTCCGTCTTCAGTCCCTTTTCCCCCACGTCGTCCCCTTGGTTGCCGGTCTGCTGATAGGCATCACCGCCTAAAACTTCCCTAGACAACTTGAGTCGAACGAGAAAGTTCCGGATCTCAAAGGGGACGCCACTACAAGGTCCAGCGGTCCAGAGCATTGGGCAACCCACCCTTAGGAAAATAAAAATTATATTTATATGTT